CACACACACACACACACACACACACACACACACACACACACACACACACTGCTAGGTGTTAACGCAGGCGAACAGCTGAGAGCCTCGGTGGAACACAGTGACCTGACCACCTGACCGGTGGACAGAGAGGCAGAAAAACAACATGAGCGAGAGAGAAGCTGTGAAGTCCATTAATGCAAAGATCTGACGTGTCACCACCAACAAAGTCCTGAACCAGGGGCTTCGCTCCACGGCTTCAGGAAATCACATCCGTAATCAGTGAATATCAGGGAAAAACATTCATGAACTATTGATTTGTGTTGAGCAAACCGTTGTGTCAGCGACTTGTGAGAGCGAGTTGGAAGGACTGAGCCGTCAGCTGGACGACGGTCCACAGGAAGGAAGGCTGAGCCTGATGGGACCTTGGCCTTGTGCAGCCTCCTGGACACAGTCCCTTCCTGTGTTTGTCTGGCTGCAGAGAAGATCTGAACTACTGCTTCTATTCAGCATCTGTCCGTGAGTGTCTGTGATGGAGACTCTGGTCTTCCTCACGTGGAGGAGATGCTGACGGCACATAAATGATCATCAGAGAAACTGTGTCGCCACAAGGCAGGCAGATTTCATCTCTCCAGCAAGCCACTACAATGCTATTTGCTATCTTGTTTTTTATTTTGTTTTCTCCTTTCTACAAACAGCTTCCGGCTGAAGCTACCAAAGCTATCAAAGCCTTCAGAGTGGACAGAAGACGTCAGGCTGCTGTCGCAAACCCAAGTCTGGCAAGCTTGGTGTTTGCAGTGGGACTGTGTCGTGGAATCAGGAAAACAGAGAATAAAGTCAGCCTTGACCAGCCAGCAGACTGGAAGGACTGGTTTCCAGGGTGCCACATCCTGCACAGAGGTCATAAGATAAATAGAACAGGATAGAGAAAAGTGGAAAAAACATACTGCTGGTGTGAAAATTCTGTTTTGTTTTTTCATAATTTGTGCTTTTTTAAATTTCAAACAGTGATGACTGTAAATTGTGGCCCATTATAAGCACATAAAGTCTAAGAAGGATGACAATGCTACGCTCACATGGGCTACCGAGGTGAGCTGAAGCAGCCTGTGAACAGGGTTCAGCTTTGCTTTGGGGTCAGAAGTTGATGATAAACCACAGATGCTATCTCTGAAAAGGGGCTTTTCAAACTCAGATGTGTTTGCTGTGATGGTGAGTTATGTAGGAGGTATTTTAGAGGTGCCAGGCTTTCTTTGTGTTAGCTGGCTCAACAAAACCTAAAACCCCGCTCAGAGACACCGAGTGTCAGGATGGTGGCTCACACAGGTTTTCTTCATCAGACTGTCTCGCGTGAAAGCGGCTGTTTGATGCATCACGTGACTCGTCGCTGCACTAAACAGACGAGCCGAGCTGCTGCTGCACATGATGCCACACAGGACTGCCAGGACAAAACCGCTAACGGTGTAAGCTAATGTACTTATTCTACTGCTCAGTGCCTCTCGATGCAGCTGCTTGTTTGTAGCTGGACAGCTGCACACTGGAGCTCCTGAACTGTAGACGTCACATAAACGTGCATTTAAGGCTGAAACTGTTCCATAACGAAGGACGGGTGGAAATCGCTTCAGTTCGTCAAGTCAAAGTCAAGTGTGGACTGAATGTTCTGTGTAGTAAATACCAGTGGAGCAGTCAGTCCTCGTAGCTGTGTTCAGGTAGCAGCTTCATCAGCAGTGGACCGGCACCACATGTGGTCACCACCAAAACCAGCCCACTGACCAAAGCGCTGCTAGGGAGCAGGAAGGTGGCCACCACCAGACCACCTGCTGTTTCCACGTGTCTGACTGAAGCGCTGCTCTCTGATTGGTCTGTTCTGGGCAGGGGGGAGTAAACCTCCCCCTCCTCTCCCCCCACATCCCAGAACTCAGCTCATGGTACCAGACAGGAAACAGTTCTTCACCCATCAGCCGCCGAACCCTGAAAGCACCCAGATACAACTCACCCCCACCCGCCCTCTGCACACACACACACACCTACACACACACACACACACCGACACACACTGACACACACTGACACACACACACCTACACACACACACTGACACACACACTGACACAGACACACTGACACACACACTGACACACACACACACACACTGACACACACACACACACCGACACACACTGACACACACACTGACACACACACACACACACTGACACACACACACACACACACACACACACATATCTGCGGTGGAGTTATGACGTGCCACATGTCAGCAGCAGGAGGAAGGTGGTGGTGAAGCAGAGGCCGATCTGTTTCTAGAGGAAACGTTTATTGTTTGTGCCTCTGAAGAGCAGCACTGAGCTCAGCGCATGTGTAAATCAGAGGAAGGCTGTGAACAGGTTGAACTTGAGCGACCGGACCCTCCCTCTCTAGACGACGGGCCGGGCCAGACCCGTACCTGTATGTACTCCCTGTTGCTGTCTTCGTTGGGCGTCCATCCGTTGTCGTTGTAGTTGAGTCTGGCCTGACGGGGCAGCCAGTGCTCATCGAAGAAGCTGGACGAGGCCGTGATCTGGTCGTCTGTGATCTTTCCCGACTCCATCCCGAACGCGTTGCTGCAGTGGAAGGCTGGAGGGCGAGCAGGACAGGGAGAGCTGGTTATGACACTTATTCACTGTTTTTATTTCAGGGGGCAGCACGGTGGCGACTTACACTTACTCTCGCTGACTTCCTTGTGTGTCATGTTGTATCGAGCTGAGAAGCCGTCTTTAGCCACGGCCATGTCGGTGTGGAAGGACAGAGAGAGAATCCCAGTAGATGATTGGATCTCTGGAGGCACCCTGGTCCCGCAGTATCGACCAATCAGAGGGCCGACTGTCGGTCAAACGAGAGTCTGTTAACATCTGCCAGAAACTTAGACGGTGAATGTGGTCATCGTTTCACTCATGAAATAATACTCCTTCACAACATCTTACTCATCAGGCGTCGATCCCTCATCCACCAACGCTCACATTTCTTTGTTTACATCCTTCACAGCTTGCATTGTTTCCCTTTCATCCATTATCTCCACCACTCTTCCTCTGCTGACATCCGCTCATCACTCCACCTCCTCATGTCATCACCTCTCTTCTGTTCATCTATCATCTCTGTCTCTTGCTGGACATGGCTTTACAGTGTGTACTATATATATATATGTGTGTGTGTGTAAATCCCAGGACCTGAGTGATTCCTTCACTGTCTTCTTCTCTAATACCACAACTTGTACATGTCAACACAAACAGATGAGTGTGATTTAGAGCCCCGGGGTGTGTGTGCAGATAGCAGCTTCATCCTGCTGCTGCTGCTGCTCCTGTTTTACACACACACACACACACACACACACACACACACATGAGGAGGCCTGTGGAGGAGGAGGAGGAGGAGGAGGAGGAGGAGGAGAGAAAATAGCCGGCAATCGATCAGTGCTATTGATTTTTTTCTTCCCTTTTGGAAGGGGTGGATGTTTGAAATAGGGCTCTTGAGCAAATAATGGTAATAACTCTTTTCTTGATGGTGGTGTGAGACGGAAAACAGGCAAAAAAAAAAACAACAATCACAGTAATTTAGCATATATATATATATATATACATTTAGGGACTGTGTGCTGTATATATGCTGTGCAGCTCAGACACCACTTGATCCCCATTTCCATTTCCTTCCTATGGAGGAATGTGGATCAGTGACCTCCCGTTTGGAGAGATGGGTTTGAAAGCAAACAGCTGACGGGTCCGATTATCAGAGGACGTACAGACTGAACACAGAGATGCTCAGATGCACATTGGCACCAATGCTTCTCTCTCATGTTCTCTTTCTTTTCCTGTTAGATTTCTTGTCTCATCGAGTGAAAACAGTTTTCAGGCTGTTCATCATCCAGTCCTGCTCCGTCCTTGTGACGAGTCAAACTGAAGTCCTTCAGCGCTCACGCTGTAAATTTCAATCCCCTCCCACTCTGCTTCGCTGTCTTTCTTGTGGTCTCCCTCCATCATTCAGAGTAAAGTCTTTCATTCTTTTCTTTTTCCCGTTGCAGAGTGAAGATGCTGCTGTGAGGTGACTTGTTCCATCCGTGCACCATCTCTGTGCTTCTGTTGCCTCTCAGGCTAACGGTGAAGGAAAGCAGCCTTGTTGGCTCGCTTCCTTATGAACTCTTGTCAGTCATTGCTGGATCATTTCTAAGAGCTTTACAAGATTTGCAAATTAAGCAACTGATGATGCTTTGGGTTAAATTGTGTAGTTTTTCCAACCTAAACTCATTGAAGGTTTTTATTGTTCATATCATGGAAATGTCAGCAAACTACAAATAACTACAATAAAAATGGTTTCTTTTCCAAGGTGTATCTTTTTCCTGCTTTTCAGTCCCAGGTGTTGAACTCCCTTGAAATCCAGTTTCTCTTTTCTCCCGTCTTGTTCTTGCAGGCAGACCAGAGGTCTTCTGCCCTTCATGTATTCATACCAGCATTTCCTTCCTTTGTTCCAGTCTTCCCAGCAGTGGAGGCCTGCCCTTCCAGTGTTCCTCTATTCCTCTCTACCTCTTCCATCGCTTCAAACTAGATCCAAGGTCTTTGTGCCTTATTTGTCCTTCTAAACTCTTCCAGTTATTCTAGCAGCGAGAACAGAAATATCCTGGCCCTCCACTGCTCCTCCTCTCACCTCCCTCTTCTCTCCCTCTGCTCAGGAACCTATTTTATTTTCCCCTGAAAAGTTCGGTTGTTTCTCCATAGTAGGTGCCAGCATCGTGCCTGTGAGCTCAGCTTTCATCTACCAACGCATAGCTACTAAAATAGTTGTTGCTCCACCTCAGTCAATAATGATGTAGGCAGGCTGGAGGACACACAGCTTCTCAGCGTGCTCTCTGGACTGACTCATGACATGACTAATTTCACTGTTAACATCTGCATCAAGATCTTCATCAACACTGCCAACACATGTATTACCACCGTGACCAACAATGTGGAGATGAGCTGATGCAAAGCCAGAAGCCTTCCAAAGCGTGAGCGCCGTACCTCCGGGGAGCCCGTCCCACACTTCCAGCCAGTCGTACTTGCAGTCTCCCTCTCCGCCTGGCAGGGGGTCGTTCTCCAGGTCGAAGGTGAGGAAGGTGAGGCTGACGTCCATGCTGGGGGGGACGATGATGATGAAGGAGCACTCCAGGTTGTGGGGGTATTTATCTGGGAAACCCGGGGACTCGATGAGACCCGAAGGACTCGTGAAGTTACGCGAACAATCTGAACCTGGGACGGAGACACAGAGACAAAACATATTTTAGCATCCATATGCTAAATGTACAATAATAGTCGCTAACTGTTGGTTGAACTCATTAACTGGAAAAAAGAAAACTGTCTGCACAGGATTTGCTTAGAAGAGGATGCAGGACCCGCAGACTGTCGCTATGGTTCAGACTGTCCCGGGCAGAGAGGACGGTGCTTTACAACCCACAGCCAACTCAATACCCGTTACTCAGTTTCATGACTCCCACTTCTGCTATCTCAGTTTTCTTTATTCGATAAAACTGTGACTCTACATGATGCACTTTAGCTTCTGCAGTTAATGTGATTGGTGGGGAACATCTGGAATGCCAATGAGCTGCATAGTTAGTGCTACTGAATGTTAGTCTGTGTGCTTTAGGAACAGTAGTTTTACATAAATGCTAATCTTGGGGGTAGACGCATAACCCAAGAGTCATGTAAATTCAAAATGGCTGTGTCGGGAATAAGAATAGTTGACATGCAGCTGATTCAGCTGTGTAAGCTAAAAAAGAGGCATATTTTAAACAGCATGCTTTTGAAAGGGTAAACCTGTAACCATCTGCACAGACACATAGAGCAGCCTCCATAACAGGAAAATGCATCTGCTTGTGTGTCTAAAGTGGACGGAGACCGGACAGCGTCCTGCCAGCAGCCACCGAACCTGCAAACCTCCAGACATGACTGAGTGAGAGAATCGGAAACACTGGAGCGACAGCGACAGACACAGAGTCTACAGACGGACCGTGGATGGGTGGTCGAGCAGCTATGAGGGGCTTTAGATGTCATCACACACACACACACACACACACACACACACACACACACACACGCTGTGACCTAACTGTAACACCCTCACTATTAATACTCACATTATGGAGTGAATGTGGTCACACCAACTGGACCATTATTCCAGCCCATCCAGCCATGTATGACCACACACACACACACACACACACACACTGTCTAAGCCTCTTATGCTAACCCATTTCTCCCAGCCTGTTTGGGTGTCTGCTGTTGTACGTGCACGCTTGCATGAGTAAATGAAGAGAATGAGTGAGAGCACATTAAGAGAGAGAGAGAGAGACTATCGTTGCATGAAGACTGGATCTAAACACCTCCATGTGCTCTGATGCGTGTTTGTGACAACTTGGACTGTAGACAGGTTTCAAACACCTTTTTTTAAGTCCTTTATTCTGCATGTGTCACATCAGTAATAATCGATGCAGCGATCTACAATAGCGGCCTAATCGTCAGGGGGGAATGGCTGTAAATGCAACCCAGAGTGTGCTGGAGGGTGAAGTCTGTTCCACTGTTCGCTGTGAGCCGTCAACACGCTTCAGATGCACAACAGGGCTGGATGAGGTGATCCAGTGTAGAAAATAATGTTGGCCTGCAGCTGCCAGTGATGTGCTCCTGTTGCTGCACAGCAGGCGGAGACTCCGTAAGTCAGAGCAGAAAGCTCCAAACTTCAAGAATGGATCTGAAACGGTGGCTTTAAGTGCAGATCTCCATGGAAACTAGGTTGTTCCAGCAAACCAGCATGGACGGCTGGCTGGCGGACACACTCTGAGAGCCGAGCATATGTATTTGTTTATGTCTCTGCTGCTCATGATCATCACACTTCTGTAACTGGGAATGCTGATGCCTCCACCCTGCCTCTGGTTTTCATCTTCAATCAGCCTTTCAGGTAACGCTGGAAGTTCACTTGGCAGGACTGAATGTGTCTGGGCTTTGACGGATTTATGTCACACTGAAGCACAAACACACTCACGAATGCACTGATTGGCGTCTTTAGATTCTAATTTGTTTGCACATCTGAATGTACGTCTCTCCTGTCTCCGTCCTGTCACCGATGTGCCACCGCCAGCTCTGTTTTTAGTGCGGTGAAGACTGTTTGTCTTCATGCAGCCTGGGTTTTTCTGTCCCACTTTCTCGTCTGCTTCTCTTGTTGTTGTGACCTTCTCCCTCCCTCTGACCTCAGACGTGAGCCAACACACACACTTTCCCCTCACGTCTGGCCCCCCTGCAGAGTCCGTCGCCCTGCAGCACGAGTCTGCGTGACTACGAGCATGTGTGTGTGTGTGTGTGTGGAGTGAACGCCTGACCGGCTGTGTTGCCGGCAGCGGTTTTTATTCCCTTCTCATTACTTCATGTTCATGGACATTGCAAAAACAGTTATGCCCTCCTTACTCCTGTCTTCCTCCGGTTTGTTCCCTCTTCACACTCCTTCTCCGTGTAACGCTCACCTCCACCTGGTCTCACCTCCTATTCTGTTTCACTGTGTGTGTGTGTGT